GGGACGTGGCGCGGCGCCCGAGCCGTGTCGGAGGCGGCTCGTGCCGGCTGGCGCGTTCACTGCGTCCTGCATCTGCACTGACAGGGGAGGAGGTTTCTCAGCTCGCTCTTCAGTTGGAATGTAAATTTCATCAAGATGATCCACGGCACCATCAAGAACCAGCTGCAGGGGCTGCAGAAGTAAGTCCGAAGGCGCCGGGCGCCGGCCGCTTCCCCTCCGGGAGCCCCGGCTGCAGCGGTGCTCCCCTCTGAGCAGCGCGCCCGTCGCGGGCTGACCCTCGGCCTGCACGGGGTCGCCGCTGCCCCGGCGCTGTGGGCAGCCGCACAGAGGGTGCCCGCCCCGAGCCTGGAGATGCCGCCTCGGCGGGAGCGGGGCTGCCTCGACCCGGCCTCCTTTGTCTCTGTTGCGGGACGTTTGGGCTGAAAAAGCCGATTCTGGACTCCGGTTGCGAAGTCCCCTCCCAGTGCCACCCGCTCCCGTGCCGGAGGGGATCAGTAGCTGGCGAGTGCAGACTCCACGGTGGGAGGCGTTCACATCCCAACGGTCCGTACCCAGGGTCCGCCTCGGCCGTGCTCGCATCCACAGGAAGTCGTGCAGTCCGGGGCCCCTGGCTAGCGGGCGGGGCCGGCGCCCGAGCACAGCCCGGCCTTTCTCCTCGTAGGTCTCTGATGGGGCACATCGCAGAAATCTACTTCAGAGCTTGGAAAAAGGCTTCAGGGGACATATTGGAGGTAATTGCCCACTTTTCCATGTTGGCTTTCAGCAGTAGCACGCTCTCCTCACAAGCCAGTAGTCACAGCGTCACTTAGACCGGGCCGGGGATGTGAGGGACGTTCTGGAACCAGCACAGCCCGGGCGCCCCGGGACGTGCAGCCTGAGCGAGGTTCCGGTGGCGTGGGGTGTAACCCGAATTGAGCTGTGTCGTAAACGCAGGAAAGACCCAGCCTAGGAGGTGTGGGGGTGGGGTCAGAGCGCCGGGAGTGGTTCTGGGGAGCACACAGGTGTGGGGGTGGGCCATTCGGGCAGCACCCACACATCACTAAGGCGGCTCGTCCCCCTCGCCTGCTTCTGGCGCAGCCTGGGGGCCGTGGCGTGAGCCTGGCCGGGGCCTGTGGGCGCCTGGGCGCCGCTGGGAGGAGTCGGCGCCGAGTCTTCCTCAGAGCCGGTCTCGGCGTCCCCCGCCCTGAGGCCTTCAGCCAGAGGGGGCTTCGGCCTCCCTCCCTGCCCTCCTGCCTCGTCCCTCTGGGCAGCGCCGGGCTGGACAGAGCTGGAGTGGCCCGAGGACCAGGCCCCGCGGACGCTGGCGACGAAGCGCGTTTGCCTCGCGCTTGGGGGTGTTTCCCCTCCTTGTGCTCTGGCCTGGCCGCCGTCTCGTTTTCCACAAACGCCTTTCCGAGATGGAGACACTGCCCGTGCTTTGTGAGGGACGCCGCGGGGGAGACCTGTGCACAGAAAGTGTCTCCCTCCCCAGCAGCGGTTTAAAAGTGGAGTTTACGATTGGGAAGTTATTTAGTGCCACGCCTGTGCCCGCAATGTGTGCTTCTCGTGTCCTGCCTCCCTCCGAGCTCCTAAAGCAAATTGCAGGCTGGGATCCCGCCTCCAGTGTGCCAGGCGCCGGCGACACAGCCCGCGCACTGCTGCTGTTGCCTGGGCCCACGGGGTGCCGTGGCTGCAGCCTCGGTCGGGGCGTCTGCGGCACTTCCGGACTCGCGCCCAGGAGGCTCCAGGGCGTTTGCTTGTTTTGCTTGGGCTCTCAGTGCCCTGCCCCTTCCTCCTCTTTGTTTTTAAACCCTGAAAGCACCTGTCATCGGCCCGTGGCGTGTCCCCTGGGGCTCGGCGGGCCCGGCCGGGTGTGCCGGCGTCCACGGCCGGCCTGGCGCTCGTGCGGGAGGCCCAGGGAGGCCGGGCTTTCCGGGTGGTGGGGCGCGGTTGCCGCCCCGTGCTCCCGCGGTCCGAGGAGCGCTGTGCGCGCCCAGGTGCAAGCAGGGCATTGGGAGAGACCCCGGCTCCGTCCCGCACGCGCCTCCCCGGGCTGCCCGGGAGACGAGGCTGCACTTGGCACCGAATCTGGGCCCGGCCGAGCACTTGTGGGACGTCACGCTGTGGAAGGGCTGCGGTTATCCCAGTCAGGGTGGCTGGGGGTCCCAGGCCTCGGACAGCCTCTGGCGTCACCTGCCCTGCGGTCAGCAAGTGGTGCTTCGTCGTGTCCAGGCCGTGTGTCAGCGCCGAGGGGCTCCGGCGGGGTGTGGGCGCGGGGCCCCGGCAGCCTCCTGGCCGCTCGCGCCTCTCTCTGCTGTTCTTGCAGGCCATCGAGAGCACCTGCCTGCAGGACCTCATGTTCCACGGGATCTACCTGCGGCGGCAGTCCCCGGTGCACGCCAAAGTGCGGGAGGTGAGCGGCGCCGGCCAGCCTGCCCCGGCCCCCAGCCCCCGGCCGCCCCCGCTGCCCTGCGCTCCCCTTGCGGCTGAGCAGCCTGCACCTCCCCCTGGGGGCCCAGAGCCAGGCTGGCGCGCCCGACTTCTGCTTTAATGTGCTCGTTTCTTTTAAAGATGCATTTATTTGTGCACACGGAACTGGGGTACAGGCCCGAGGTGCGGGGCGCGAGAGGTCTCCCCAGAGACAGTGTGGGGAGGGAACGGGCAGATGGACAGAGCCCACCGCTGGGGGCAGCGGGAGGCAGGAGGCTGCCGCGCCCTGGGGCCCCCTCCGGGCGGGGGTGGACTCGCGCTGCGGCGGCCCTGGCAGCTTCTCCCCCCTGCGCCCCCGGGAAGGCCCTTGGTGAGCTTCTTCGTGACTGGAGACCACCGACCGCACTCCTCGAAAGGGCGGCTGGCGTGGCCCTGAGGTCCCGGTGCAGACCTGTGGTGTGGGTCGCCAGGGCCCCGCTGGCCCCAGCCTGGCTGCAGCGTGTGCACACAGCAAACTAGACCGATGTCGCTTGGCACAGACACCGAGCCAGCCGCCCGGCCTTGCTGCGG